CTTATTTACTATCACACATTGAAAATTCATAGACTATTTTTCAATTTTTCTCAATCCTGATGGGAAAAATAATTGACTAATCACTTTTTTACTTGTGCACTTATTGCAACAATTGTATTCAAAATTCCTTTTACTTTCTTTCTTCTTTGTTTATTTTCCCTCTTTTAACTGGTGTTGGAGGTGTTGAATGTCAAAATTAGAAAGCTTGCATTTTTAACACATAGATTCCCCCGAAAATAGTACTATGGCTTGTTGTCATACATGCAGTCTGTCAATACCCAATGTCTGGTTGTAAGCCAAATGTTGCAATCATGGTGCCTCCAGAGAAGGCTGAGTCTGGAGGCTTCGGGTCGTGGTCCAAGGAAGGCGTGGAGGTTGGGTTCCCCATTTTTGTACTTGACGCGCTCGCTAGGGGCTTCAGGGAGCCACTTCTCTCTCCGCAATTTCTCTATCTTCACTATATTACAAATTGGCTAGCTCTTTGACATCAACTTATTCAGCTCCTATTTGGGTTCTATTTTTTCAAAAATTATTTTCAACCACATATTCCCTATATAATATTATTTCAAGTAAACCCAATTTTTTCTTATTTTTGAACTACATATTCTCCAAAAAAAATTATTTCAAAACACATTTTCCCCCAAATTCTCGGTGCACCTTTGGCTAAGCTTAAAACATATACTACAAGTTTAAAAGTAGTGAAATCAAATACATTATTATACGTCTGAGTAATAACAGAGTTAAATTGGGGAAACGTTTTGTAGCTGAATAATGAAAAAAAAAAAATCCTGACAGATTTGCTGTTATTAGTCCTAGAAGAGGATCAAATTCGTTCAGGTAAATTACAACGCTACTTGCTGTTGAATTTCCTTATGCTGCAGATGTTTTCTTTTTATCGATCGTCTCTATCAGTATGCTAAGTTTCAATTTTAGTTGAACTTAATGTGCTCCTTCTGAAGGTAATAAGCTACCATACAGAAATTATATACTACTACTAGTTTTTGACACGTGCGTTGCACGAATTTTGTATTTATTGTATTTTTATTAACGTCAAAATTGTAGATTTTTCAAAACTGGTAAAAGATTCAAAGTATTTAGTGAAATCTAATCGTTTAGTTCATTACATTATCGCATGATGCATGGATATTTCTTTTTTGTTTTTTATTTTTTTCCTTATTTATTTTTTATTTGTTTTGTTTATATTATAAATATTTTTTTCAATTTAAAATCCTTTTTAATTCTTTTTTCTTTATGAAAAAACTTAATTTTTTCAATTTTAGTTAAATAATATTTATATGTTCTTTATTTAATTTTCGCAACATTCTTTTGTTTAATTTGTTTTTATTATAAATATTTTTGAAGATTGTTTAAAAAAAATCTTCATATTATAAATAATTTTTTTTTATTTAAATTCTTTTCGTTCTATGAATCAAATTCTTTTTTCTTCATATTATAAAAAAAAACTAAGTGATTTAACAATTAAAGATATTAGCGTCAAAATTGTAGATTTTTCAAAACTGGTTGAAGATTTGAAGTATTTGATGAAGTCCAATCATTTGGCTCATTGGATTATCGCAGGATGAATGGAGATTTATTTTTCATTTTTTATTTTTTCTCATTTATTTATTTTTTATTTCTTTTGTTCATATTATAAATATTTTTTTTGATTTAAAATCCTTTTTAATTCTTTTTTCTTTATGAAAAAAACTTATTTTTTTCAATTTTAATTAAATAATATTTGTATTTTCTTTATTTAGTTTTGACAACATTCTTTTGTTTTATTTTTTTTGTTTTTATTATATTTTTTTGAAGATTGTTCTGAAAAAAATTCTTCATATTATAAATAATTTTTTGTTCGATTTAAAATTCTTTTCGTTCTATGTTTCAAATCTTTTTTTCTTCATATTATAAAAAAAAAAACTAAATGATTTAAGAAATTAAAGAAGAAGAAAAAATTGCAGGCAAAAAAAATTTATTATAAAGTTTTTTAATTAAATTGAAATAATTAAAAATAAATTTTATTTAACTAAAATGATAAAATGAAAATAATTTTAAATCGAAAAATAAATTATTTTTAACACGAAGTAATTTTTTTTAAAAATATAATAAAAATAAAAAAAATTTAAAAGAAGTTACGAGAATTAAATAAAGAATATATAAATATTTTTTAATTAAAATTAAAAAATTAAATTTTATCATATAAAAAAAAGAACTAAAAAGAATTTTTTAAATCGAAAAAAATTATTTACAATATGAGAAAAAAAAATGGCTCTCTCCATCCTACTGTGTGTAGATGGAGGATTTCACTTCATTCACACACATTTGAATGTGTGTGGACAGATGGAGAGATTTCTTTCCGTGCATGGGGAGGAATTTTTTTCCTTTTTTTTGTTTGTTTTCTTTACAATATAAATAATTTTTTTCAATTTAAAATTCCTTTTATTCTCTTCTTTTCATGATAAAACTTAATTTTTCAATTTTAACTGAATAATATTTATATATTCTTTATTTAATTTTCGTAACTTTCTTTTATTTTATCTTCGTTTTATGATAGAACGTCATATTTTATTTTTAATAAATAATATTTATTTTTAAATTTAATTATTACAATTTAATTAAAAAAATTATAATAATCATTTTTTTCACCTGCAATTTTTTTCTTTAATTTGTTAAACTGTTTGACTGCAACAATGAAATTTGGGTAAAAAGAAAACGAATTCTAGAGAATTGAATGCCTAGAACTTATTTTTTTGAAAATTATCAATTAAATGTGTTTGATTAATATAATTTTTCACTTAAAAAAATGTTGAAATTTTGGATCTTTTGGTGTACGTTTGATTTTATTTTTCATGAAAATTGTAAATTAAAGAGATAAAATTTTTACAATTGTTCATAGATTTCATTCCCATTGCTAAAAATTAAAAGATAATAATAATAAAGCTGGAAACAGAATTCCCAACAAAATGCACATGTGGGGGAAAAGTTTGGAATGGAATTCCTTAGAAATATTGCAATCAAACACAATGGCTAATCAAACAGGCCTTAGTTTTTTTTATTTGTGTTGGTGTATAATGGTAGTTACAAATTAAATGATTTAACAAATTAGAGAAAAAAAAATTACAGACAAAAATTGAAAAAAAAAATTACAGGCAAAAATAAAAAGAAATAAAAAAAAGTTACTAAAATTTTTTTAAAAAAAGAAAAAAAAGTTATTATAATGTTTTTAAATTTAATTTAAAAATTAATATTATTTAATTAAAATTGAAAAAATTGTGTTTTATCGTAAAATAAAAAAATTAAAAGGAATTTTAAATCGAAAAGATTTATTTATAATATGAAGAAAAAGAAATTTTGAAACAATTTAAAAAATATATACAATAAAAACAAAATAAAAGAAATTTACGAAAGTTAAATGAAGAATATATAAATATTGTTTAGTTAAAATTTAAAAAAAAAGATTTAAAAAGAATTTTTTTAAATCGAAAAAATGTTATTTACAACAAAACAAAATAAAAGGATAAAGGAGGAAAAAAAAAATTCTTCTATGCACTCTATGGGTTCCACTCCGTGCACGGACACTTGGTTTCTCCAGTTCACTCCGTGCACGGAGGAACGGAGTGTGTAGCACTAAGAGTGAGTGCTACACTCCTTACTTCCCATAAAAGTTAGACGCCAAGCACATGAATCATTTTACACTGCTCCGTTCAACTCAATGCAATACAAACTTGGTGTAGTAATTGTTATAAAGATTTTACCATAAAATTATCAAGTTCAAGATAAGTTCCAATCTGAGTGGAAGCTAAATAAGGTGGCTTTCTTTGCTGATTTCTTCAAGAAATGAGGCCACTTTTGGTGGTGCTCCCACCAGCAAACATAAAAAAAAACTATGTAAAAACATTTTTACACTACTGGAACACAAAGACAAACAGAAAAATATATATGTGGACCTTTATAAAGAAGAACAGTGAAGAAAAATGTGCATCTGTGCAAATTATTCAGCATGGTTACCTTTTGAAAATCGATGTAGGCAGATACTAAATTAGGATAAAGAGGGCGATTAACAATCTGTGCTTGATTATCTCTGAAATTTCTGATCATTTGATCTCATGATGAGTTTGAGCTGCTTGTATTAAACCTAGATGATGATCACTAAACCCTCTCGTACTGTTATTATCAATAGGAAATGAAATCAAGGAATGAAGTCTATATAATTCATCCGTAATTAGTAGTGTTAATCGCACTTGCATAAATATTTAAAGAAATTTCAATATTAATTCGATTAATCCATCAAAGATTTATATTAAAAACGACTTTGTTTTTGTGTCGAGAAATTCATTGTTGATTTCTACAAGAGAATATATAAATATTATTTAGTTAAAATTGAAAAATTAAGTTTTATTATGAAAAGAAAAGCATTAAAAAAATTTAAAATTGAAAAAAAAAAAAACTATCTATAATGTAAATAAAAAAAATAATAATAATAATAGTTATTTTTGCCTCCATGCACGGAGACCCAAGTCTTTGTGCACAGAGTCAATTTTATTTATTATTTTTTTTTTTTGAAATATTTGTGTTGTCTACATTATAAATTTTTTTTTTCAATTTAAAATTCTTTTCTCTTCAATTTTTTACTTACAAGTAACTTTTTACATTTTACAAATATTTTCTGTCTTATTATTAGTATTTTTATTTTTTAATAATTTCAAACAGAGACTTAGATTTGAGAATTTTTTTCTGTGTAATTTTACGTTATAAATTTTTTTTTCAATTTAAATTCTTCTCTTCAAATTTTTTACTTAAAAGTAACTTTTTGTAAAATATTTTATGTCTTATATTATCTTTATTTTTTAATTTTTTTAATATAAAATTGATTTTTTTCTTATATCCCTACTATATATTTCTATATAAGAGTGGTTGAGTAAGGAGTGGTGGAAGGTATGAAAATTGCGTGTTGCAGTATTTTCTTGCAGTATAATAAAATATATATCAAGGCAAATATATATCAAGGCAAACAACGTCGTTTTGCTCCTCCACTTGTACAAAACAAAACAAAAAAGATACAGTGGGACAAAATGGATTAAGTCATTGTTACTTTCTACAGTAACTTTACATTCTCCACATTCTCTTTTTTATATAGTAGGGATAAGAAATGCATTTAGTAATGACAAGAAGAACAGATCTTGGAATTTGATTACAAGACATTTCAACACATGTAGTTCAACGTGATATCTTCGTTTATATATGAAGGAAAATTCTAACTTCCAAATTCAAGTGGAGCTAGTTTGTCCCCTACGTCGTTTGATCGCCCTTTGCAGCAATTTCATCGGTGCAACAGTTGGAGCTTGAGCTTTTACTTATGGAATAGTAGTTGTCCTTAGAACTCTCTTCAAGAACCGACAACTCTCGTCCTCCTCAGCTGTTCTAGTTCCGATGCCACTTCTTTCATGCTTGGTCTGTTTCGCGCCTTAAGCTTTAGACATCTCTTGGCAAGCTTGGCAACTGCAACAATATCCTCTTTATGGCCTTCATTTGCCACTAGCTGCTCCAGAATCCCATACAAACGGTTCTCTTTCAGGGCATATCGGAAACAAAGTGCTAGACTTTCATTGCTGTTTTTGGAAGAGATGGCTTTAAGTCCTGTTAAGAGCTCAGCAAGAACTACCCCGAATGCATAAACATCGGTCCTGTCATTTAATTGCCCTGATCGGAAGTATTCGGGATCTAAGTAACCGAATGTGCCCCCTATGAGTGTCGTTAAGTGAGTCTTATCAATGGATACTGACCTCGATAGGCCAAAGTCAGAAACTACAGCCCTATAATTCTCATCCAACAATATGTTGTTCGACTTGATGTCTCTGTGGAAAATGGCTGTTGAAGCACATGAATGCAAGTAAGCAAGAGCTCCTGCAATTTCTGCAGCGATACGTAGACGGTTCTCCCAAGATAATGTCGAGACCTTAGGCTCATCATGAAGATGGTGAGAGAGGGTGCCATTGGGCACATATTCATATACTAACAATGGAACTGCAGCCTCCAAACAGCAGCCTAACAATTTCACTATATGTCTATGGTTTATATGAGACAGAATAAAAACTTCATTTATGAATTGACCTACTTGACCCTCATCAATTATATTGGACCTTTTTACAGCCACTATGCTCCCATCTGACAGCATTCCTTTGTAGACAGTACCATGCCCTCCTTTGCCAATAATACGACTTTTGTTGAATTTGTCTGTTGCCTTCTCCAACTCTTCGATCAAGAAGAGCTTTGTTTCGGGAAACGCATTTGCCGTATTCAAAGAGATCTTTTGTTGAAGTAGTAAACCACCATTTCTCTTGAAGAGCTTCTGCTTAATTTTCCTTTTATTCATTTTCTTAATTTCACGGAAGAGAAAGAGACTAATAGCTGCCAGAATTAGAAGGCCAGCAGCCAGGCCAACTCCTGTTTGTGTAACTCGCATTAGCATAATTCTAAGAACGAATTAAGACGAAAAGTGGAAAAGGTATATACCTAAGGGGACGATCAATGCCAATATTTGTCCTGGACTACGTTGGCAATAGTAGCTTCCCGGTGTGTTCACGCAGAGGCCTCTCTCTTGGCAGTCATTGCGTCTGGGGTCTACACACTCATTAATATCTGCAAAATTGAAAATAAACGATTATGTTGTCATGAGACAGAGAACTGAGAGAAGTGATTTGTTCTATTTACTTGTGACATATGATTTAAGCTTTTCGAGCTCGCTTCCATTAAGTTCAACCTACCTATTCACCATTTTTATGATCCATTCTAATGGTAGAAGTCAAATTTACGGTAAAGCTTGGGCATATGGATTGACTTGTATAAAGTTCCTTTCTCTGCTACAGCTGATAAAAATCTTGGAAGAAATATTACCTTGGCATCCCTTGGGAAGGTAAGGATTTCCTTGGTATCCTGGATTGCATATGCATCTGTATTCCCCACCTCCGCCATTGTCATAACAATTACTATTCGGGCCACAGCGATAGTCAGTTGTTTTCTTGGCATTGCTGCAAGTGGTGTTTCCAATTGTCCAGTTAAAGACTACAGGGACAACATTTCTTTTACTACAAGCGGATAAATTCTGGTAGTGGTCAATTGGCACATCCTTGGCTACAAAAAAGAAAAGACCACATGGATCCGATGGCCAGGAGTCTTTCACGGTATTTATTCTATTAACCCACAAATTAAAAATTGAGAAATCTTTTGGTAAACTTGACTGGCAGCAACCGAAGCCCGAGCAAGATGAAGTGGATCTGACTACGTCAGCACGGTTGCAGAGAGATCCACATCCTGTGAGGAACTCTTTAGTTGTATTATGAACAATGTAGGCATACAAATCGCATCCCATTACAACAAACTTATTTTTCGTGTGGGAGAAACTGAAACGTCTAAAATCAATTTGAGGAGTAGGCTGTTTTCTCATAGTTTCTCCCGATGATCTATTGAAAGTCATACTTAGAACTGGGAAATTGGAAACCCGTACATGGTGATGTGATATGGAGATGTCCTGTAACTCCATTTTGAAGGCAACTAGAGAGGCTGAACCATCGTCGCATTTGACTTCAAATTGCCGATCGAAATAGCAACCCTTGTTTATACCGAATGGATAAGGAATTTGCCTGTCTCCACATTTTTCTTGGCAGCCATCCAGTGCCAAGGAGGCTGCCGCCGTTTCTTGTAATTGGAAGAGTATTATTAGATGAAGCACCAGCAGCAGTCTTCTCTCAGGTACCATTTTTAGAAATGTTGGTGCAGTGCAAGTTTTCGCTATATTATATATTATATATTGGTGGCTATAAAAATACTTACTGAGGCCATCATGTTACATGTATATTGAAGTCAACTATTTGGTCGTCGGTAATGGACGACCACCTTTTTATGGATGCAATCAAAGACGAAGTTGGCTTCTTCAGGAGACGTTAACACGTGAAGGGTCCAAGAAATAGACTCTTTTTTTCGTGGAAATAATTGAAACGTTATAAACGTTGGATTTTTTGGAAAAATTATTATTTTCTTAATTGCACCTTTTTTAATTGGAAAAATATTGTTTCCTCCCTTCCACATTATTTTTTATCTTTATGGTATTTTTAGGATTTGGCATGTACCCCTATAAATATTAGATTTACTGAAATATAGAATAATTGTGTGGGTACAATTATTGTATTTGTTTTCTTCATATTCATTAATTAAATAAAATACTTCTTTGCCTTTAATAATTTTTTTTATCGTATTTATGTTACCTCTATCCATTTTATTTCCCAACAATAAATTTTTAGAAAAGCATAGACATAAATGTTTTTTTTTTCTTTTTTTTTTCAGGGGAAGGAATTTCTTGATCTAAATGGGGAGGCTACTAATGGATTGACTGATCACGTTCTATGAATTTCTGAGATAGTGCAAATCGTATTTTCTCAACAATTGTTTGGTAAGAGAAAAATAGATAGGACGAAAGGATATATTATTTTCTCTCTCGAATTTTATAAACCAAATGTAGGAAAATTAGATATCATTTCGAAGACCTCAAAACAGACATTCTAATGCACTAACGAGAAAGAGCAAACTGGCCCTTCGGGACATAATCCAGTGATACAAATGATAAGAGTGAAGTAGTCTCAGTCTTACTGACTGCCGCAGTGTGAGGATTCGATTCTTGAGATATGAAACTGAATTCTTTGTGGTTACCAGTGTACGAGCAAACTCTTGTTCCCTGATTTGTTGGGGCACATTTCGCGATTTAACTCCCTCACGATACTTCAAGGACGAGACTGTGAAGGCCTTCAAGGTTGAAGTTCAACCTTTGTAAACACGCGGTTCTCAAGAATGCCATAAAGTAGGTCCTAAAAGAGGACGCCAACTTTCAATTTATGACTTCTTTGGTTTATGACCCTAATTCTCAAATTTGATAGATTTGGTTCTCATAAATTCTCAATTTTCAATTTTCCAAGTCCTTTAGTTTTTTGTTTATCATAATCTTTTATGTTTTTCTTATCATAAAGCAATTACATACGCTTAAAAGCACGATAAATTAACCTTTTTTTCATTTGGTAATTTTAATTGACACAACTATGATGACATATTTAGTACTTCTAATTAAAGGTTTAGGACCCAAATCCAATATGTACATTCTCCAGAGGTTGGAGAATTAGGTACATACAGTTTACTTAATTAAAATTAAGGGCACGTTGATCTGTTTGCTAGAAAATGACTAATTGCGCACCAAAACACAAAGGTTCAGGACTTCCATGCCAAGAAATAAACTGAGGACCATTTTCACACTGAAGGCGAAAGTCAAAGACCATTTCCTCCAAATTCCCATGAAAATTACCACTCTGAAAGGTCCGTACATTTACAGATACACGTGAACTTTATCGTACCGTACAATAGTTACTGTAGCCAAAATATAAAGGTCAAGCTTCAACTGCTTTCAAATTGTATTTTTGCCATTTACTTCATAAAACCAGTATCTATTAAATGTTGGGAGGAATTGTAATAAAATTAGTACCCCATCACAAGCTAAAGTTGTTGCATCATAATTGTGGTGGATATGGTTATAGAGTTCACACATACGACTTGATGGATAATCTCCATAATTCTCGATACGTAAACACAATTCGATTCAAACATAACTCTTGTTTGAGCCCCATTCTTTTTGAAAAATTCATTTTTCAACAGTATTTTGACATCATTTCAACTACACATTATTCAATAAAATAATATAACACACAAATCTAAAACTTTTCCTTATTTTTTAACCACACATTTTCCATCAATACACTATTCAAAAAATTAATTCTTCCCCAAAAAATGGGGCTCAAACAAGGGCATAATATTATCACACGAGACCTCGGATAACTATAAAAGACTCTTATAAACACTACGCTAAATAATTGTTGAGAGCTGCTTCACGTACAGGGTACTTGTACTTGTACCAAATACTCAGAGCAGTGGGGATGAGTTGGGTTTTTGGTAGTTTTTTATACATGTGGGTCTAGTGTGAGTGTTGGTAACTACCTTGTTAACCCAGCAAAATTCATGAGTTATGCTATACTTACAAAGATGGGTTACAAAATTGATTGACAAAATAGCATCACACCATTCATTTTAAAAACAGATTTTTAAATCATTTCAAATCAATGGCCTAAATTTTGCCAACACCCTCTGTAATCTAAATTTTGTAACCCAACTTTGTACAATTAGCTTTATTGAAAATTCATAATTGTCGTCAATACTACAAGTGCACTTTGATATTCTTGAAATTGTTTTTTAAGATCACTGACAGTTGGCAGATCGTGACTACAACTGTAATAATTACTTAATTCTAGCTTATAATCTCGTTGAAACAACTCTTTTCCTCATTATTAGAAAAAAGACACTTTTGTTAAATGAAATTATCCACAACTTAAAATGATAGGAATTTGAGGCATCTCCAATTCCATTTATTATACAGCAGGACGACGGTTGGGAACATAAGTCGCCAGCTGATCATCAAGGACAATATTCATAGGATGATTTATGATCATATAACCTTGTAAATGGACACAAAGAAGCCAGGCTGAAGAGTTTCTGCATAGTTCAAGCTTGATGAGAAAAATGGCTCACCCAATTTATGAAGCTAATGAGAATAGCCCTTACGGAAACCTCAGCCGCTACGAGGTTTACAAAAAACACAGAATACTCCATCGAGAGAGCTATATGACGAATGAGCAGAATGTGAAAATCTTCACCCAATCTTGGCAGCCTGCAGATTCAACTTATAAATTTAAAGGGCTTATAGGCATGATTCATGGCTATACATCAGAAAGTAGCTGGCTCTTTGAACTAAATGCAGTTGCAATGGCTAAATCTGGATTCTTTGTTTGTGCTCTTGACTTACAAGGTCATGGCTTCTCTGAAGGCTCACCTGATCACATCCCTGATATTCAGCCGTTGATTTGTGATTGCATTAGTTATTTCAACTCTGCTCGAGCTGATCATCCAAATCTTCCACCGTTCCTTTATGGTGAATCTCTAGGCGCTGCACTTGCAGTACTTGTATGCCTAAAGCAAAGGACTGCATGGAAAGGTTTGGTACTGAGTGGAGCAATGTGTGAAATTTCAAAGAAGTTCAGACCTGTGTGGCCAATCGAGAAGCTACTCCCGACTGCTGCTTTCATTGCACCGTCTTGGAGGATTGTGATTACCCAACCTCCGGCAAGTAGGTCATACAAGGAGGAATGGAAGAGAGAGCTGATAGAGAGAAGCCCTAATCGCCAGACGTGTGGGAAGCCAACAGCAGCATCTGCATTACAGCTTCTGAGAGTTTGTGAATATGTAAAGAAGAATTGCCATGATCTAGAAGTACCTATGCTGATTGTGCATGGTGGTGAGGACATGATATGCGACCCCGAGGGCGCAAAATTTCTGTATCAATCGTCAACTAGCAAGGATAAGACACTGAAGATTTTCACAGGCATGTGGCACCAGTTGATTGTGGAACCAAATGAAAGTGCAGAAGAAGTATTCAACAATATATTGTCATGGATAGAAACGAGAGCTGATTTATCCAGCACCAATTAGATTACGCTTCTTCACTCTTAAGACTAGCACGAGTTATTAATTTATCATGTATGAATGTTCACATTTTGTTTAGCCAGCTAGTCAATTATTATCTTCTGTAATCAACTGCTAGAACATATTTAACCATCTGATTTAGTGTTAATGCGGGTATTGCTTCTTCCCAATTTCTAAAGGTTGTATAAACTCCAAGATAACACTAATTTTCTTCTATGACGGGTAATTTCTGATAGAGCACAGATTTAGCACACACTTATGGAAAGATTTACGAGCACATATTTAGCACACAGATTTACTGCTTGTAATACTCCTCCCATTTTGAGTGATTCATTTTCCTTTTGTACAGCCTAAATTATTGGGATTATATGGGTTGCTGCTGTATAAATATTGATACCAATCAATGGTTAATATACTGAAAATTTCCACCAAACTGTTTATGGTATCAGAGCCTCTCTGTCAACTGAACAGAGTCTGATCCCTCTTCAAAACCCAGCCGTGCCATCTACAATGGAAAAATCCCCGGAGTCCTCTGCAACACCAATAACTTCAGCAACTGATTCTGGACCAGTGATTGCATCAACTCCTATGAACACCACGGCTCAAAACAACTCTTTTCCCCATCAATGGAAATCTCATAGCTCTTAATGCCTCGTCTCAGATTCCATTTAAACTTGCAAAAAATGGCGGAAATTATGCATCTTGGAAGTCCCAAATGACCAACCTCCTCTTCGGTTATGGACTTCTTGGTTTTGTTGATGGAACTCATCCGCGTCCATCGAAAAACGACCCTGGATATCTCCTTTGGACTCGTCAAGATCGTCTTGTGCTCCTTGGCACTCAAGCTACTGTTAATAGCGCAATCTGCCCGACGATAAACAATTGCATCACATCTGCAAATGCCTGGAACAAGTTAGAAACCAGTTACGCTAATCGTTCAACTACCCGTATGCTTTCTATTATGTCCTCTCTTATGTCAAACAAGAAGGAAGGGAAATCTGTGGCAGCTTATATGAGCAAAGTTAAAAGCCTTGTCGATGATCTAACTCTCGTTGGGCATCCCCTAAACGACGCTCAAATCATGTCCTATACTTTAAATGGTTTGGGCAATGAGTTCAAAGAACTTACAGCAGTAGTTCGTGTCCGTGACACCCCCATAACTTTTGAAGACCTCTATGATAAACTACTTGATGAAGAATTGATAAGCAATCATGGAGAGCCGAAGGAAGAAGAAATTCAAGTTACAGCACAACTTACTCAAAGGAGGTCCAATTTTAGAGGTCGTGGTAATAGAGGAGGCCATCGAGGTGGCTACAATAACACCGCATATCGCCACGACAACAACACCAATGGGCAAAACTCTCTGTTCAATCACCTGCAATTCAATCGGCAGCAGTCGAGGCCCTCCTACAGCAGAGGTATAAACCATTCCAACTCTCCATCATACTGCCCTCCATGGAATTCATATCAGCATCAAGGAAATCAAAGCCAACCTCACATTATTTGTCAACTATGTGACAAGTCTGGACATAGTGCAAAGTCCTGTAAACCTGGTGGACTGCCACCTTCCTATATCTCTCGACCTCAAGCAAATATGGCTGAAGGACTATCAAACAACACCAACAACAATTGGGTACTTGATTCAGGCGCTACGCACCATGTCACTTCAGATCTACAGAACCTTTCCTTGCACTCAGATTATGTTGGTAACGAGGATATTATAGTCGGTAATGGTAAAGGAATCTCTCTCTCTCATGTTGGTTCATCTTCGATTGATTCCCCTATTGCCTCATTTACATTCGATAATGTTTTGTGTGCACCCATAATAACAAAGAACCTTATATCTGTTTCCCAATTTTGCAAACAAAATAACACATCTATTGAATTTTTTCCTGATTATTTTCTTGTGAAGGACTTGAATACGGGGGCATCCTTGGCGAAAGGCCGGAGTAAGCACACCTTATATGAGTGGCCATCCGCAATCCCACCTATCAAGCAATCGCCAATCACTCCTTCTGTCTCAGTCACCCTCCCGTCTCAAGTATGGCATCAACGGCTTGGTCATCCCTCTCCTCCAATCCAAAAGAGAATACTCGCTAGCAATAAAATTCCCTTGTCAAATTCATCTACAAATAAAGTGTGTGACTCTTGTCTCTGCAACAAAAGTCGTAAACTATCTTTTAAAAATTCTTCTATTAGTTGTACTACACCATTTCAAGTTATCTATTCGGATGTTTAGGGCCCTGTGCCAGTGACTTCATTTGGAAATTTTCGATATTATGTTATCTTCGTTGATTACTTTACTAAGTACACGTGGTTGTATCCTCTTAAACTTAAATATGATGTCGTTACTGTTTTTGAGAAATTTCGAAAACTCATTGAAAATTTTTTCCATACTAAACTCAAAACCGTTTACACAGATGGTGGTGGTGAGTATAAAGCTCTTTCTCACCTTCTAGCCCAACATGGCATTCAACACCTCACATCACCGCCTTATACACCAGAACATGTTGGCTCAGCTGAACGCAAACATCGTCATATTGTGGAAACTGGTCTCACACTTCTTCACAACGCTGCCATACCTCTACGTTTTTGGACCTATGCCTTCCAAACCGCCACCTATCTCATTAATCGCATGCCCACTCCTGTTCTCCACAATGACACACCATATCACATATTATTTGGTCACAAACCCAAATACACTTCCCTCTGAGTCTTTGGTTGCCTATGCTATCCTTGGCTTCGACCATTCAACACTCACAAACTCGAACCCCAATCTCGACCGTGTGTGTATCTTGGTTTTTCACTGTCTCATCATTCTTTTCTCTGTTTTGATACTCATTCCAATCGTCTCTTTATATCTAGACATGTTATCTTCTTTGAACACATCTTTCCCTACAAGACTACACCCTCTCCTGATATATGTCTCTCGTACCAAACTTTCTCCAAACTTCTATCGGCCTTTACTGGAAAACACCTGGATAAAGTTCAAGCACCCACTGTTGACTCTCTTGACTCTGTTGTCTGGTCTTCCTCCACACCATACTTAATCCATACTCCCTCTACTCAACCTCCATCTACCACTCAACAGGTTACTTCTTCGATTTCTCCCCAGGTTGCCTCTCAATGCGCTCCATCACTGGTAAACAGCTTACCCGAACCTATTAACACGGAATACTCTATACCACATCATGGCACCACCACTCCTGCCTCACCCACACCAGATCTCTCTACCACCCTAACCTCCACACCAAGTCAAGAAATCCACCAACCTGACCAACCAACAGCCCCTAATCCATCTCATTCCCACTCCCCAGTCAAACCATCTCGTGTAGTCACTCGTGCCGTCACTCGTGCCCAAAATACCATTCACACTTCATATGACTACCTCGCCTTCTCCCGCACACATGGAACCTACATCATTTACCCAAGCCAATAAGCACTCTTACTGGCATAACGCCATGAAAGAGGAGTTTATTGCTCTTCAAAAGAACAACACATGATCCCTTGTACCTCCATCCCCCACACAAAATGTTATCGGTTGTAAATGGGTCTATAGGATCAAAGAAAACCCGGATGGCTCTATAGCACATTACAAAGCCCGACTTGTGGCCAAGGGCTTCCATCAACGACCTGGCATTGACTTCAATGAGACCTTCAGCCCGGTTGTCAAACCGGCTACTATTCGCCTTGTTCTCACCATTGTTGTAATTAATGGTTGGATTCTGAACCAACTGGATGTTAACAATGCTTTCTTGCAGGGAACTCTAGCTGACTGTGTTTTCATGCAGCAACCTCCAGGCTTTGTTGACACTGAATATCCCTCTCATATCTGCAAACTACACAAAGCACTCTATGGTCTCCGACAAGCTCCCCGAGCATGGTATACTGAGCTTCGGTCCTTTCTCCTAGCCTATGGCTTTCTCAACTCCAAATGTGATGCCTCTCTCTTCATCTTTAGATCAGGAACCCACATCATGTATCTACTTGTGTATGTGGATGATATTATCCTCACTGGGAATGATCAGTCCACTCTTCATACATTTACTGCTCAGCTTTCCACTCGATTCTCTCTCAAGAATCTTGGCAAACTCAACTATTTCTTGGGAGTTGAATCCACACGGACTCCCAATGGCCTGTTCTTATCTCAGAGAAAGTATATTTTAGATCTTCTTCAGCGAAACAATATGCATGAGGCAAAGGAATTTAGTACACCATTGTCTCCTTCCGAGACCCTCAAACTTAATGATGGTTCCCCTAGTCATGATCCAACTCAGTATCATCAAGTGATTGGATCACTTCAATATTTGTCCCTTACAAGACCGGATGTCAGTTATGTCGTTAATAAGCTATCTCAATTCATGCATCGACCAACCTCTACTCATTGGCTTGCTGCTAAAAGAGTTCTCCGTTATCTTAAAGGCACTTCTCACCATGGTCTCTTCATATCTGCTCATTCTCCCCTTGCTCTTCATGCATTTGCAGATGCCGATTGGGCTGGAGACGCTGATACACGACACTCCACATCAGCTTATGTTGTCTTTCTTGGCTCTAATCCCATTAGCTGGAGCTCTAAGAAACAATCCACCATTGCCCGATCTTCTACCAAAGCCGAATATCGTGCCGTTGCTGCTGCCACCACTGAAGTGAATTGGATTACCAATCTTCTCCGTGAACTAGCAGTACCAATTCACTCTTCTCCAACGATTTATTGTGACAATGTTGGAGCCACTTACTTATGCTCCAATCCTGTCTTCCATTCTCGTATGAAGCACATTGCCATCGACTTTCACTTTGTCCGTGATCAAGTCTCTCGTAAGTTGCTTCGCATTTCCCATGTTCACACAGCAGACCAACTTGCTGACACCCTTACCAAACCACTGGCTCGGACACAGTTCCTTCTTCATCGTTCCAAGCTTAGTGTCCTTCCCGGACCCTCACGCGTGCAGGGGCATGATAGAGCACAGATTTAGCACACACTTATGGAAAGATTTACGAGCACATATTTAGCACACAGATTTACTGCTTGTAATACTCCTCCCATTTTGAGTGATTCATTTTCCTTTTGTACAACCTAAATTACTGGGATTATATGGGTTGCTGCTGTATAAATATTGATACCAATCAATGGTTAATATACTGAAAATTTCCACCAAACTGTTTAATTTCAGTATCATTTATTCACCAATGACTCAAATTCAATCTACATAAAGAAAGCTCACAGATGTTTAGATAAATATTCAGAGGGGACGGAGGAGATGCAAAAAAATTGAATTACTTTGATGCAGCCAATTATGTAAATATTTGATGGAATCATAGTTTGCTGGAGAAAATCGTCTGAGATATAATTTCTTCTCTAACTAGGTCTCTTCTCAGTTTCCCAGTCGTCGTCGTTGGAAATGTATTCCTCCATAATAAAATCTTTTTGGGAATTTTAAACCTGCATAAATAAATAAAAATAATTGAAAAGAATATGTGTTTAAACCCGGGTGGGAAGAGATGCTAATAAATGAACAGAAATACCCTGTCAAATTCTTCTCCCTGCAAAAGTCCCTAAGGATCTCACTGGATAAAGAGTTAACTGTGTCTTTTTCAGAGTGATCAAAACTTAAATCAGACCATTGCCAACTGTCTTTTAGTTTAATACAGGCAACTACCATCTCTGTCAACCGAGGATCTGGAACTCCAACAACAACAATGCCCGAGATCCCTGGATGTTGGGCAAGGATTGCCTCTACCTATGTCACCGAAAAAAGTAGACAATGACACATACTATGATGTTCTTTAGTGATGCCGACTTTAAACAAAACAAAAAAATCCAACCAGCACCATATTTTTCTACATCCCCGTGGGAAAATGAAAATAAAGTTCGATTTGGCATGCTTACCTCATCAGGGTATATATTCTCCCCTCCACTCTTGATTCGATCCTTAGCACGCCCAATAAGCCAGAGGTTGCCACAATCATCTGTCTGTCCCATGTCTCCTGTATCAAGCCAACCTGGATCGGAACTCTTAGATGGAATTTCATCCCAGTATCGGAGCATTACATGGGGACCTCTTGTCAATATTCTCCCAACATTCAAGGAATCCTCAACTCTTACTCTTACTTCAATATGTGGTGCAGGCTTACCGACACAGACACCCCCAGGACAGCTTAAGTTGGATTTTTTGGCATCAAATAATTGGTGGTAATGGTTATCTTTTGTTGGATTGTAAAGGGTCATGAAGGTTAGAGAAGAACATGCCTCTGTCATCCCTTCAGAAAATCAAAGAATAGAAAACTGAGTCAGAAGGAGAATGGGTGTAAATTGCTTCCTACAAGGAAGAAAGCTAATAATGTTAAGAAAACTTATTCTAATGGGCCATTGAATTATATTTGATGGGGCAATACAAATTCATTGGGAATTCCACTTATTCTTGACTTTCCATGTATGCTTCCAACTTCACAGATACATTTGAAATAAACTACCTAAATTTTGAAGATAGATCATCAAACACACCATAAGCTGAAAGAAGTTTGGCTTTTGGGAAGATTTTGGTAGCATCTTCAATGAGATTCGTTGACAAAGAACCACTTCCATTCAGAATCTTCATCACAGTCTCTAGCTGTTCAGATGTTTCCTTCATCCTGTCAAAGTGTCGTTTAGAAATATACATAAGCAGTACATAAATACACACACAATTGCAAAACTCAAATTAGAATGGGTGAATTAAATGGCCAAGGATCCAACCATTAACTCAAAAGTCTCGAGATCAAAGTCCCTCCCAACTTTTTCTATTTTTGCCAATAGCCAAAAGGGAAATAACTAACTAGAAAATAAAAAGAGACAAGATAGTTCTATCTTCTACTAACTCATCAAGGCACTGACTTGGAAGGAGAGTAATTTCAAATATAAGGATGTGCAAACATTATACAACAAAAATATTGCTTATTTCCAAAATTTTGAGAACATAGAGCTGTTTTTACCTATCAAAGGAGATTAAATCAGCCATTATTGTGGGAACAGTGATAAAGGAAGTCACATGATGTTTCTGAATGGATTCAATTGCTAATTTAGCTTCAAACTTGGGTATTATAACTTGACAACCTCCAGCCATTAACATGGCCATGGCTGATGATATTCCACCAATGTGATACAATGGAACAGTGTGCAAATAGACCTGCAAAAGTTAACGCAGAATTTAATAAACAAATTTCAGCATGATCAAAGTAGTATCCATCATGGAAATACAGTTCTTTTGATATACAGATGTATTCCTGGGCTGCCTTTTATGCATTTGAATGTTAATTATAAAATCATCTTGGCCATTCTTTTGAAGTTTCAACATGAAGAACGAGAATAAAGAAAACTTCTCAAGGAAGACCGTACATCACGCTCATCATAGTGAACAGTTGCAATTTTTGCTAGGGACTGTACAACTAAAGCCAAATGGCTTATGGTAGCTCCCCTTGGCCTTCCCGTGGTACCTATGGACATCATGAAAAAGGAAATTATCAGTTAAATAGTAATGAAAACATGTGGTATTACAAATGGGTAAAGTAACTAGTTTCAGCTTGAGGAGGATCTTCGCCTTTGACACTTTCAAACCCCCAATCCCATTAAGGCACTTAAATTAGAAGAGAATTAAGCAACTGATTCAAGATGATTTTTTCTTAAGAAAAATATGCTTCGGGTCATATAATACAGCAGAATTACAAATCCATACCACATTAATTATGGATATAAAATTGTGAAATGCTCACCACGAAAACAGACTATTTCAAGGTGATAATCTTTTAGCTGAAAAACATTCTTTACAAACTTTGAAGTTCATAAAAATTGCTGCAATTACGTCCCTGTCATGGATGATTTCTGTTTTACTGATCTATCCACAAAAATCTATTGCTAATGTGTTATTTCAGAAGCTATCAGGATTTTGACATTCCCTTCTTTCAGATTTCAATTTGAAGCACAAAACAAAGCCAAAGTAACAGTAGAAGGTGAAAAAAATAAAATGAATGAGGATTAGCAACTTGTACCTGAGGTAAAGCATATAATTGCAGCTCTCTCAGGTGCCCACTTATAGTCGTTATTTACCGAACTTCCAGTAGGCTTCTTAAGTAACTCAGTAGTTAAATCTGCACTTTTAACCCAGCTATATAAACATGTAAATGTCCTCATAATATTTTTACTCACCATTCATCAAAATTTGAACATGAATACCCACCAGCCCCAGTGTAGTTGGGTTTAACAGGTGTATCCATTGGGATATGCCATTGCAGAGATGGTACTAAGTCAATGTGGAATGCAGAATGCCAGCAACCAGGGCTCAAGTCAGTGACAAGTAAGACTGGCTGCACAACCTCCATTGCCAATTTTGCCTCTTCTAAGCTCTACAAACTGATAAATATTAGTAGCGATCAGATAAACTACTGTCAGTTAGACAAATTATTAGTGAATAAAACACATCCTGAGAGCTATCTTCAGGCAAGGAATTGGGATTTCAGAATCCGAATAAAAAATGATCCTATTGAGTGCAATTTTCAAGAAGTTCTGATTTCAATTCCCCAATTCAATGCTTAAGTACATAGTGTGTGTTCCTTAAAAGCAAAAAGCAGTGATAATTGGCAATGAAAGCAGGGCTAATATTAAGTGATCGGTTGCTCACCCAACGATAGTTGAGAGGAGCAGCAATTCCACCTACATAAGCAATAGCAAGCAGCCACTCCAGATACAAATCACTGAAACAAAATCCTATCAGCCTTAATAATATCGGGTAAATGGAAGATGACTTTCAACTAAAACATGTTTTGAGTGTTTTTTCCGCTCCTTGTGATTGGCTTATGACCTCCAGACGGGATAGGAGATCGGTGAACAATTAAAAAGTATCTGACTTTAGACGGATCCAGAGTAACAAGAATGATGCAAATCAGCAGCAATGGCTTCAACACAAGTGAGCAGCAACAACAACAATAACAAGCTAAACCTTAACATCTTCTTTCCTTTTAATCCATTTCCATTACATATAACTCCAAATTGAAGTAATAATGCATGCAGTGTTGCCAATAAATTCAAAAGCACAAACACAACATGCCAAAACTCATTTACTGAATAGGGTTTTATTCTGGCGCGTAAACAATAGTTGCACAGTTTAAAAATGCAATCTCATAATATAAGCTGTTAGAATATGATCATTAATCAAATTCGTCTCCACATTTAGGAAGGAATCTTGTTAACAGTTACATCATTTTTTGTCTTCAAGACTTCAACACGATTCCTCAGGTACATTTGAGATTCGTTTTTTCACCAAAAATGCTACTAGTTAGTAAAGGAGGAGGAGGACCTGTTGAGAGCAGAGATAGAGACGACGTCACCGGGCTTGAGGCCGAGTTGAAGGAGCCCACGGGCCAGGCTCAAAACTCCATCCACAAACTGCATGCCCGTTTTCTGCCGGTCTCCCATTATTATCGCCGTTGAGTTTCGCCGGAGCTTCGACAGGCGACTCAAGCACTGGCAAACGTGGGCCTCTGAGCAATTAGCCATGAATTGGAGGGCAAGCACTCTCACCAGACAAACAGGGAGATAACGTGAGCTGACTGTGTAGCGGGATTCGATTAGTTCTTATCCATGAGAAACTGACAATTTTTTTAGGATATATAAAAAATATTAATAATAATTGATACGTGATAAATCCCGATGAATAAAATAAGAGTAATGTTATGTACTTCTACCGTAGCTACATCCTCAATTTAGGCCACGTTTAATGACAGATTAACTAAATGACAAAATTAAATGAGTAATTTAATTGGGCAGAGTTGTAATTATAGAAAAGAATCTTACAGATAACACACAAGTGGGATGAGTGGATGATTTTTTGGCAATTTTTTTTTATTATACATGGGGCCCACACATTGTCTCTATTCTAATGGACTTATGTGAAGGAAAATTCTGTATATATGAAATTTCTCAATTTAATTTCACTTATTATTTAATAAAACATTAGGATTACCGGAATTACAATTTCAATAAAGCTAAAATAGCATTACTCATAAAATAAACATAATAGTTGCATTGACTCTGAATGTGAGTTATTAGTCCGATTTGTTCATGTGCTACTGTTCATAACAAATGTCTCCCTTTCCCACACCTCTGCATCTCCTCCATTCCTCTTTGTCAAACTTGACTTGAACTTGAGATTTTTGGTGTGATGTGATGTTATTATAAATTATTTGATATAAAAGATGGAAAATGCTGGTTGTACAGCATTGGCTCACAGCAAGTTTCACAACATTTCAAAATGGGTGACGTGGAATAGGCGGGAACGGATTTCACTTGAAAAATTCAAGGAAATGCGTGGGTCAATAGCAACCCGGCCCGTTTCAGTAATTCCCAAAAATCTTGAATTCCCACTGTCAAAAATCAAATTTCCCCAATACAACACCCGCGAGCAAATTATTTCCCGGCAGATGGGTTCGTTCCGGTGAGAAGAGAGGAAAAAATTTCTTGATTTCTGGGTCCGACTTCGTAGAAATCCAGCTCTCGCGACTTGGCCACTGGGCCATTTTCGTTGAGCAAGCTTTCCCAGTTAGAATCCCCTCTCACTACGACATCGGTTGGAACACAAAATACCATTCACAATACTGGGTCCACTTTCCTAAATTTGATTTATCGACTTGAACACAAAAAACCATTCTACCACATGACGAAATTTGATTCATCGACTTGGTCCCCTTTGACGACTACAATCCGACCCCCAAATCTGTTTTACCCACGTGACTCCCTCTAAGGACAACCCGAGTAGCATTCGACAAGAAATCCAACTACCTCACCAAAGCCCAACTTTATCCATCTCCAAATCAACCAAGAATCAAGGAAATCTATGTACCTATCAAGATGACAGACAAAGGTAATCTCTTTCTTGGTTATAATGTATACTTGATGCATCGCTGTATTTTGCAACATGTGAATACGTAGAAGGGTTTAAGAAATGAGAAAGCTGTTTCGATTAGCTGAACTATATGTGACATTGTAGACAGTTATATGGCTGTAATGATGTTTTTCAGTATGTTAGGTTGTGATGTTTTGTTCTCTATGAAGTGGATTTTTTCATGCTTATATTACTTGAAGGCTGTTGTTAATCAAAAGTCGAAATGGCATTTATGGTAAAATTGAAAATATTAAGTTCAATATTACTTCGTTATGAACTGAATTGTTTTATTAGTTATTGTTGGGTGATACCTTTTTTGTTGCAAAACTGTCATAGAAAAGTGGATACCGTGTGGAGTTCAGTAAAAGTGGACTCAGTATTGTGAATTGTATTTGTTTTATGAATAGAGAGGCTGATGTGAGTGAAAGTGGATACTATGTGGAGTTCAGTAAAAGTTCAGTGGTTTTTTATATGTGAGCTATTTTTGGTGTTGTGGTGGTGGTGGGAGATTGTGAATTTTATGGCCATCCTGCAAGCATAACATTTCTGTTCATTGAATGAGTGCTCCATGACCTTTTACTATTTCTATTGGAAATGTTTTAAGTATCTTTGAGCTCAATACTAGTTAAGAACTTTGATTTCAGTGTTTTATAGAAATCTTCTGGTATTGTATTCTGGAAAGAGTGAATGGTACCTATTTTTGGTATTGTAATTTCCTACTTGTTTTTTTTTTCTAATAACAACATATGGCTTCGTTGATTTTGATGCAGGACAAGAACTAACGGAAGTATTAGATGACGAAGTCTTTGTCGAATCCAATGATGAGAACTTGATGGACAATGTAATCACATTGGAAGATGATAATGTAGGAGGAAATGCTGCGATTGCGCCGGAAGTGGGTATAAAATTCAACGACGAGCAAGAATGGTTTGAATTTTACAAAAAATATGCGTACGAAGTAGGTTTTCCAGTTAGGAGAAGAAATTTCGGAAAGTACAATGGTGTAGTGACAAATGTTACGCTAACATGTAGTCGTGGGGGACAACGACGCGATAAAAAAGGCTCTTCTTTGAAGCCTCAGCCAACGATTCAGATGGGTTGCAAAGCGAGGATAACTGCTTCCTCAGATATTCGGGGAATATGGAGAATTTGCACGGTTGACCTCGAACATAATCATAAAACAAGTCCATCGAAATCCAGGTTGTATCGATGCAACCGAGAATTGAGTGCACATGTGATACGAAAACTAGAAGTGAATGATATAGCAGGAATTTCTTTGCATAAGAGTTACAACTCCGCAGTAGTTGAAGCCGGTGGGTATAAGAATATGACTTGTATTGAAAAGGATTGTCTGAATTATGTGGAAAAAGTGAGGCGGTTAAGACTAGGTGAAGGGGATGCTGCTGCTATACAATCCTACTTTGCGGAGATGCAAGCACGTTCTAGGTTTTATTTCTCTATGGATTTGGATGACGAGTCAAGGCTTAAGAATCTTTTCTGGGCAGATAATAGGTCTTGGCAAGCATATAAGGAATTCGGTGATGTAGTGACGTTTGATACCACTTACCTAACCAATAAATATGACATGCCATTCGCTCCCTTTGTTGGAGTAAATCATCACGGACAGTCGATACTACTTGGATGTGGGTTGCTATCAAATGAGGATACAGATACATTTGTTTGGTTGTTCAAAACATGGATGTTGTGCATGCATGGTCAAGCTCCTAATGGAATTATTACCGATCAAGATAGGGCTATGCAGAACGTAATTCAGATAGTGTTTCCAAATACGAGACATAGATAATGTCTGTGGCACATATTGAAAAAGTTGCCTAAAAAATTTAGATATCACGTGGACAAGAGATCTATTTTTCCATGTATACACGGATTAGTGTACGACTCACAGTTTGTTGAAGAGTTTGAGAAAGGTTGGGAATTGATGATTGATACTTATAACTTACAAGATAATGAATGGTTGTCCGGTTTGTTTGAGAACAGAGGTCGATGGGTACCATGTTATTTGAAAATGACTTTCTGGGCGGGGATGTCAACTACTCAGCGTAGTGAGAGTGTAAATGCGTTCTTCGATGGATACGTGCATTCTAAGACGTCATTGAAGCAGTTTGTAGAACAATATGAACGAGCACTGCGAAGGAAGATTGAGAAGGAATTCCATACAGATTTCAAGTCGTTTTCGCAAATGGTGCCGTGTGCAACGAAATATGAAATGGAAAAGCAAATTCAGGCAGTTTATACCATAGCCAAATTTCAAGAATTTCAAAATGAGATAACTGGTAAAGTGTACTGTGATGTCTTAAGTGCATCTGACGAGTGTTCGGGGAGGATGTATGAGGTTGAGGAGGATATCATTTACGAAGGCAAGGTGAGGAAGAAAAAATTCACGGTACTGTTTCGTGCGGAGGACTGCGATATTGTTTGCAGTTGTCATTTGTTTGAGTTCCGAGGAATTTTGTGTAGACATGCCATCTCAGTGTTGATGCGTAACGGCATCTCATCACTATCGGATCGGTACATATTACGGAGATGAAGGAGAGATATTTGTAAAGCTCACACGAGAGTTGTAGTGAACTATGACGGTTTAGTTAGCACTCCTGACCAATTGAGGTATGACAAAATGTGTGAAGAGTTTGCTACTTTGGCAGATATAGCCGCAAATAATAAGGACGGATGTCGCCTGATAGTAGATTGGATTCAGTTACAGTCGAAGGAGATAATGTCTACCAAGCAGACTTCTCAGAGCACTAGCATTTCTATGCCAAATCTGCATCTAGGATCCCAGTCGAAAGCATCGCAAGACATGGGCAGTGGCACTTTACAGGATCCTATATGCGCGAAACAGAAGGGAGCACCAAAGAAACAGCGTAAGAAAAGCCCATTAGAGTCAAGTTCAAAGAAATCGAAGGTATTATTATTATTTTTTTTCCGCATTTTGCACCTTCATTTATGAGAACTGATACAAAATATAACACTTCACTTTGTAATACAGGCAGTTGCCTCTTCAAGTACAGGATGTAGACCGCGATCAAGGAATACTAATCTTGTACAGGATACACCTGTCGTTCAGATACCCGAGCAAGCAGAATATCCCGTATCCACTCCAGTTTCATATTCACAATTTAGTATGGTCAGTAAAAAAATTTATTTATTTTTTTGGTGTCGTGTGGGTTTTTTTTTGTTTTTTGTTTTTTTTTACATTGAATGACAACATTTTCTAATAGTTCTTTCATCGCATGTAGGTTGACCGTTGGCCGAAGAGCCATGCAGTTACACAACCGTTGGTAGCTTCAAACTCCATTGCTCCGTTGTCATCAAATGTTGTATTCAATTACCCAAGTAAATTATATGGTGTCGTATGCAAACACATATTGCACATGTTTCTTTTCGTCGTGTGGGTTTTTTTTTGTTTTTTGTTTTTTTTTACATTGAATGACAACATTTTCTAATAGTTCTTTCATCGCATGTAGGTTGACCGTTGGCCGAAGAGCCATGCAGTTACACAACCGTTGGTAGCTTCAAACTCCATTGCTCCGTTGTCATCAAATGTTGTATTCAATTACCCAAGTAAATTATATGGTGTCGTATGCAAACACATATTGCACATGTTTCTTTCCCCCATATCGTTAACCCTGTATTGTTTACAGTAGGTACTACAATTCCATTCCAACCACTAATGTCACCCTCTCAAAGTGCCGTAGTAGGTTGGATGTATAATATCACCCAGTCATCAGTAGGACCGATATTCAAGCCGACTACGGAACATCAATAGGTGATTGTTATTAATGTATTTTTATTTTATTTTTTGGCTTGGTTCAAGATGTGATGATTTCTGATTGTAATGAATGATTTACATCAAGCTCTTTTCTCAGCTTTGTTCAAATTGGATGTTTGGGAGATGCCTTTGTATATGTTTGGTCGGTTTTTCATTAAGTAAGGCATTGTACGAGGCTAATGGACCTCTATTTTGGAGCTAAATTTTGTTTTGTCTTGCATAATTTCTGGTGAGTTTTAGTGCAAATGATGCTGATTTTGTGACTACAGAAATGTTGTACAGTTAGGTGAAAGCTTTGACCCCAGCCTCAAATTATACTCCATTGTCTAATTATTGATTTATCATCCATCTTTATCTTTTCTGTGCTAGAGGAAATAAGCAATGGATCAAAGCAGGGTTTGAGTGAATTAATAAGAATTTGGTTTAGTCACTAGGATGGCTATGACTTCATGTTTATTACTTTAACTGGAGAAAGAGACCAACCTTTGAGCTAACTTGGGGGCTAATTTGGGTTAATAAAAAACTGGCCAGGTTAACATACTACATTATCCTACATAAACACATGTCGTACTACATACTTATACAAACACTTAAGTTTCACATTCCAAAAACATCGAATTTCATGTGAAATCTTCCGAAACTCGTTTCCCCTTGCGCATATTTATATTCAACGAAATTTCCAAGTCTTTCTCATCCGTGAGCTTCGCAAGTGATTTCAACATATGCGACAAACCGTCCACATGCTCATCTTTGTTTGTACTACTGTTCGTGAAAATTCCCGCAAGCGTATGGGTTCGTTGTACAAGTAATAATCGTGATGATAGAGTTATCGTTCCATAGGGAATAAGGATCAATTTTAGTATATTTGATATATTTAATTCGTATTTATAACTAACAAACGATCGAGGGAATAGCTAAATAATTTTTATAATTAAAACTTGTGAAAATAATTAAATTTGGTTTAAAAATTCAAATGTGTAAACGTATTAGATTTCCGACGCCATTAATCAATTCTTAGTTCTAATTCTCAACCAATAATAATTATCTCAATTTATGCAATTGCAACGATCGATAAACCATTTTTATTTATTTATTTATTATTCTTTCCTAAGATATAATAAACCTATAATTACCACGAGACGATCATATTCCTAGTCTGAATTCATATAGCAAACATGCATTGACGTTTAGGATTATCATATAAGATCGCACACGCCACAAATACTATTCCTAATATTTATTGTCCATGTGTCCCAATAATAGTGTTATACCTATCGTGAGTTTTCCAACACTACGAAAAAGTAACTTATTATCCTAATGGTGCGCAAACATTAGAACAATCTAATTATGCATATTATTAGAATCACAACGCAATAATTAACATAAAAACGTAGGTCTCGAATTAAAACTAAAAATTAAACAATTTTGTCATCATCCAATACGTGAAAAGGAATTAGCCAAACATGATACTAGAATTAAACAAATGAAATTGAAAAGATATCACCGCGAAATCGACGAAACGTGATTGATTCCAGTTATGAGCCGGTCCTTTTTTGCGTGATTTTTTTCCTTCAATTTCAGCTCCTGTTGTGCGTGTATATTCTGCCTTTTCTTCTAGATTTTTGTCTGCGTGTATACATATTAATTCCAGCAGTGGAAAACCCGTTTCTTGTGCGTGTATTATGAATTGAATTCCAAGGCAGCCACCTCCTTCACCTGGCTTTGGTTTCTGTGTGTATCAATATATTAAATTGGCCCTCCAAAGCTGCTTCAATTTATGTTTTTATATAGGGTATTCCTGCAACATCGGCCCTTTTATTTCCAGCAGATTCAGCTTCCTTTTTTATATATATGTAATCACTTTCACCAGCTGGCAGCCCGATTTTTTCTTTGCTTTTTTTCCAGCAGTTCTGCCTTTTTTTACTGCCCAAATTTAGCAGCTTGTATGTATAATATGTTGACCCCCAGCCGCTGTTTCTTCTTGCCAGAATCTCTCTCAATTCAGCCCCTTTCGCTGCCTCTAATGTGTACAGATATATAATATATTCAGCAACCGGCCAGCTTCTATAAATTTCTCCTCGATTCCGCCTTTAATGCGTGTATATATATAAAATAAAACCTAGCAGCCGGTCCACAATGCGTGCTCCAAAAAGGACTCCAATTTCAGCCCATGTTATTGTCTTCATGCGTGTGTTTGTATGTGGAATTTTCTGCCAGCAAATTTATTTCATAGGAGCCCATGTAATCCTTTAATTTGATTTCAATTGCAAGTCCAATTTAGTCCACTTCTCATTCCAATTCCAATTGGTAGCTGGCCCATCAACTTTATCCAATAGTCAATTTAGTACCCATACTTTGAATTTGTCATTTTTTGCCCATTTTTGCTTGTTTCTTCAATTCTTTGTTCAAACGTGAGTTGTTCCTAATAAAAATAATACAATACAAATTAGGTCATATTTTGTCGAAAGAACAATAAAATTCCATAGTTTAAAGTCCCGAATTAGTGTAGGAAATACACTTATCAACTACCACTTGATTATGAAATCTTTATTTCAAACTCTGAATGATTACAAGCACGATTATGAAGGGGTTAAAATATGGCCTTGTTTTGAATTAAGCTAATGATGAATAACATCCATTCGACACTAAAAATTTATTTTGAATGATGGCCTTGTTTAGGAGAGATTATTCACTTAAAAAATCTCTTCCAAACAAACATTAAAAAAATTAGTTTAAGTAAAATTAGCTTAATATTATTTTATTATTATGATCGGTGACTTGCACGAATTTCAATGAGTTATTGATACCCCTGTTGGCATCTTCAGCTGGTCCCACTTCACCCACAAGACTTTTAATATTGAGTAATACTATTTAGTCTCACTAGAATTAAAAATGACGTTAACGTAGCATTAAATGATAACTAGAATTAAATAATTTATTTAATTTCACCTTTTATTTGACTTATTATTTAGCGTCATCTAGACTGAGGTTGTAACTCAAAGAGGACTACGTAACATTATTCTTTAATATTAGTCAACTCTAGATTAAGGTTAAACTTTATCTTGTTATAGCATGTACAAGTTGCCTAATTGCATAATTTACAAATAAAGATAATTCTAATTCGTCTGCATTACTCGAATAAAGAATATAATGCATTTTCTATTATATTTAATTATGTTAATGGTGAACAAAACGTGCTTTTGAGTCTATACAAAATCATTTCTCTATCAAAATAAGAATATGTTACTTGTTCTGACAATTAAAATGAAAATATAAAAGATGAAAGAATTGTAAAGAATACATTATCACATATGTGTCAACTTCCATAGAAGTTTATTTCCAAATGTCAATGGGAAATGGAAATTAATTCATATACAACAGGACACCTTTGGTACGTAGTACTAGTTAAATTGGATTACAATAAATAAGATTTTAATTTCTTTTCTTCTTTGACATTGTCGGTCGTAATAGTCTCCAACTTACCAAATGAGCCACTATTGTTCGAGAGGAATCCACTCTAGTTCTAAATCCAATTCTCCAGATTCCACATTCTGAAGTTTGAGTGATACTGCCTGTTTCACCTTCCCATCAACAATGTTAACAGTGCTATCATCTATTAGTGCATTGTCATGTGATTTCAGCCATTTTCCGATCTGCATGTTACCAAACATTCCTGCATCTCCAAATGCCATTGCTGAGGTTATCAATGGCTGAATATCAATGTGAGCTTCTCCCATTATATCGTCAGCCGAAAATGTGTCGTGATCAAAAACTTGCTGTAGTTTAAAGAAATGAAAAAACTTAGATACGATGTCAATGAGATGCCCGTGACAAGTTATATGCTTATTCAGAAAGCTAAAATAAAAGACTAGAAAGCAGAGAAAAGATATGTGTGTCCACAGAAATGTTTCCAAAATTATGAGAATACTATGTGGTTAGTGAGAAGCATCAAGTTGCAAGAAGTAAAATATCAATGCAAGGAACCAAAAACGGAAAATTGTTTTTCTATGCGGAAAAATGATACAAAGAAAAGCAAGAAAAGACATATTACCAGTTTTATTGCACCAAAATCTTGTGGAACAGAAAGCATAAGTTCCTCATTCCAGACGGGATTCAAATTGCTCTTCACGACTGCTGTTTGTGCTTTCTAGTAACACAAAGAAGCTTTACAGAAGTTGGAAAAGTACACATTTTGAACCACCCAAGATTTCAACAACAAAGCCAAAGAAAGCATTGCTATATATGACTTATGATTTTGAGTTGAATAAGAAATAAGATTTGTTTTCGTCCAGATATTCTCTCTCAAAAAGTTTGTACAAGTTAGACAAAAGCACAAGCATCTATAACAGCATTCTGATTTACCGGAAAAGCCAATGTAAAAGACTAAAAGTACATAAGTTTGACGGCAATCTTGAACTACGATAGACAAGATTTTAACTTCATATCCTTCCTAGCCCCTATTTGATACAAATTAAAATCCAGATTTTAATTTAAGTCAAAATCAATAACTAATTTTAACCTCACATTTTATAGGATCCACAGCTTTTCAACCACACTTTTCAACAACTTTTATCAAATTCTACTAAAAATCTGATTTATTCCCCACCAGACGGGCCTAATATTAAACCACCACACCAATCTTACCATAAGTTTTTGAGCTTACCAACATTACATATTCGAGCAACGTGAAAATGCATAAATAAGAACATACTCAGCAGATCTCAGTGGAAAAAAATAATAATAATAATTCAAAAGACTGAAGTTACAGAACATAGGCGTAGTTTATCACCTTTTGGATCCATCAGTCTCTGTCCCTAAACCAAAGGAAAACAAGAAATTACTAACCTGCTTTCCAAGAGTTAAGACAACATAAGGATCACTTGACAGCATGTCTCGTACAGCTAAATTTGTGCCTTTGAATATTGTAATCTTCAACACTCCAATAAATTCCACCATGCCTTCTTGTAATTGAATTGTAACCTTAAATACAGAAAAAAGTAATTCACAGAAGCACCAAGATGCCAGTAAAATCTGTAACATCTTGTTGATAAATCTGATCTATCTTAATAAACTTCACATTTCTGTCAGGACACTCATTCCGCATGGATTAAGAAAACTTGGCCAGTGTCACTATTGTGATGCAGATTTAAAAAAGACAAGAGAAAAAATAAAAGAAAAGAGACGCCACGAGAATGCCGAGAATGGAGATAAGCAGCTGTTTACCCTTAATGCAGAAAATTTTGTCATTGGATGGCTGTCAGCTATATATTTGCTGATAACACAGAATGAGATTCAAACAATGGAAGAGAACTTACTGGTTGCTGCGATGACGAACTTGAACTTTGAAAATTATCCATAATCTTCTTGGACAAACTTGATTGCAAAGAGCCTTTTTTAGAAGTTGACGTAATACGTAAGCTAGGTTTCAAGAATTCTTGGAGCTCATATTTGGACCTACATAACAAAAATGGAATGGCTTCAAGTTGAAACCTGAATATCCCACAAAACTTGCACTTGTCCATGCAAACCACTCAGGAATCCAGTAGCATCATGATTGGGAACATTCATCAGATTCGAGAGTTGAACTTAGGATTTGATAGAACGGAAAGGTCGACGTGATAATCATAGAAGAAAGAAGAAAATGTCTGGTCAGAATGGCACAACAAATCTCAGCTAAATATTATCTGGTGAGACTTGGCAGGTGGATTAACAAAAAGTCTCATAAAATTAACTAAATAAATAACCACCCCATCTTCACCAGAGAGAGAGAGAGAGAGAGAGAGAGAGAGAGAGAACCTCCTCACTAAGAAAGTATATAATTGATACTTCTTTTAGGTTCAACCATACCTGATAAATTTTGAACGATCTTCATGGCTAGCATCTGGTCGAGGTTTTGAGACTCCTTCAGGAAGATAAGCCTCGTAAATTGAATTAGCACAAGCATTTCCTCCAACCTCAATCAATGCATCAATTTCATCATCAGACCATTCATCTAATGTCACAGACAAAACCTGCATGATAAAAATTTTACGACGGAAAATGTAAGGAATAAAAGATTATAAAATGTATGAGTGCGAGAGATAGGAGTTGGTGGAAGAGAAAAAAAAAAAAGAAAAAAAAGAACGAACTAAGTAAGTTACCTTTGAAATATGTGTACCAAGGCTTCTGTGCACACCGCAACACTTTAAGCAAATAAATACTCCAATATTTGCAGACCTGAACATGCCACAAGAAATATTAACAAGTAACATTAAAAGAAACGCAGATACAAATAACAGTAATTTACATGTGTTCTTTTTTATTATTGACACATGGATAACGATGAGCTTGAATCCTGAAGCTTTTAAGGTAAGCAGGCAGAAGTAACTACTACTACTTTCCCCCATGCTCTTGTGACATTTTATCAATAATATAGCAAGAAGTAAGAAACGTAAAAGAAATCAGAAGGAAACCAGACTAGAACTTACGCCCATTTCGGATCTGGAGCACCACAATCTGCACAAAAATGGTTATCGCGTTGAACCAAAAGATCTTTCAATCTTCTTTTACCTGTACGAACAGTATTCATCAAAGGAAAAAAGAAGATGCAAGAACTATTAAAACTCTACAATGTCCGAAAAAGGATGATAAATGAATACGTATATCAATTAGCAAGAAAATGTTTTAAAACAAGTTTAATGCTATGTAATCACCAATTAGCAACTAAATGAATCATGTGACGCACACTCATCAAGATGCAAAGAGATTGTCAAACAATGTCTAGTGCATGGAGAAAAGGTCTACTCCATTATTATGTCCATTATGTAAGTGTAATGCAGTGTTTTCACGCACAATTCCACTAAAAAACTTTATGCGAAAATAAAAGGGTAGGGAATTATGGCAGACATTTCTTATAATTTGAACTTGACCTGCACAAATTGATATTCCTCATTCCTCAATGTTCTGAGCCCAGTGGTTCGAGAGAAAATAAAATTATACCTGAAGTTGGTCTACCTAGCTGGCTCATTGTCTGCTAATACACCAATATCATTCAACGTGACTGGTCTTTATTAATAATAACCTGTAAATAGTGATCCATCGAAAAGATTAACTTAAATTTTCGCTTTGTACACAAAATTTGTTATATGTACAATTTACTAGAAAAGCCAAGCAAAAGTCTCGAAAGTATTTTCCCAGTTAAGCTGGCAAACAATCATACCTCAAATACTTAGAATAAAAATCCTAGAACAGTTAAACGAACGCGAAGAAAGAAGCATAGATATCTGAATTTTACAAATTCGAAAATAAATCTTGTTTCACAATGCAGTGTAAGAACACCTAAGATTAGATAGAAAAAGCAAGGGTAAGAACTTAAGTACAAGTCATGTCATAAATTCAAGCATCCGAATCATTCGCAGGAACCCATAAATCAAATTGAATACGTGATAGAAATTATCTTGAAATATGGTCAGAATCGGAACGCATCGATTGAATCAATGAAGCCAAAATTTTTAGATCATTGATTTAGTGCTAATCAAACATTAAAAAATTCGTATGTTAACCATAACGATTGAAGACGGATACAGATTGTCGCTTACAGTAAATTTTCAGCTGAAATTGATTATAGATCTGAGAAAAGAGAGTGAGCAATTGTTACCTTATATATTCAGGAGTTTCTAAGATTCACTCACTTGGAATTAATAATGGAAAATCGACAGAGTTGAAACGCGAAAGGAAGTGCCATTTCTTTGATTTGGATGATAACTGTTTCTGTAACGTGTGTTTGCACCGTTTACTCTGGGAAAAGATTACCGTACCTTTTTGCCTATTTTATCCTTCCTTTTATCTATTTTTTGGGTAAATTCAGCCTTTTATAGGTGCGACACAAATCTCAACCATTCAGAATTTAAATGGTACCCACGACATTCGAATTTCCCCAATTTTCACGCTCATTTCACCTTTCTCCAAGTGATCTCTTTTATATGTTCTTAAAAGTTGAACCACAACCTTTAAGGGTTTTCCACCGTCTCTTTTCTGAAGTATCGTGAAAGAAGTTAATCGCGTGATGTGCTCCAACAGATCAAGAAACAAGAGCTACCTGTACACTGGTGTCCACCAAAAGTCTCAATCTATATTTCAGGAATCGAACCCTCACACTGCAGCTGCCAGCAAAGTTGAGTATATCTCACCTTTGTCCTTTGCACCATTAAAATATATGCCCCAAGGGCTCTCTTTTATATGTTCTTCCTCTAACTCGTGGTAGCAAACCAAGATTCATTCTACGAATAAAAAAACACAACTTAACATGAATTGAAGTTAAAATTACCTCCAAAATATTACAGTCTCCAACATGATTAAGTGTAAAATTTACATTCATCGTGATTGAAGATACCTAATACACGAGTAAAGTGATATTATTATTTTTACCTAGGCTTGATGTTTGGGAGACGTAAGGGGTGCCATGTTTACGTTGTAGGACAAGAGGTATATCTTTGTGATCATTGTCAAGATTATACCGTGTTACCTTAATTTTTCGCGTCTCTAATAGTAAATATCTATTATCCTATAGTTGAAAAAATCTTGATATATAGTGGTTAAATTTAGGAACGCGTTTTTCTCATGGTATAACACCTAGCTGACGTAAAGATATGAAAAGTTAGAGCATCTCCTATCCTTTCATGGGTTGCAAAAACAAATTTGTCACGTGGACAAAAATAGACAATATTTAAAAATTTATTTTTCAATGCAATCTAGCAAAGATTCCGCTAAGTTCATGTGGAAAAAATTGTAAGTATTATGCCCTAAATCCAATCAACTTTGGACATAAATACTTTTATATATAATTAATGCAATTAAATGACAGATCTATTATTTAATTAATAGACAATCAAATAAATAATTGAGTCCGTAGATTCAAATATTTGTAATTTATTAATCACAAGGAGTTGTGATTGTGAGATACAAATTACATCTGATTGAATCTTAAATCATTCGTGGTCGTAAGTAATAACGAGATACAGATATCGTTATTACGGATAAACCATCACGTGTGGCATTTCTTACTTGTGAAGTAAGTAGCTGATCTCACAAGTTAAAGTGTGGTGACACTTAAATGAACACGTGGATATTTTGTTATAGAATAAAACATTGGAGACCCGTCGAGAGATTCCACATGGATAACTATCTGAGTGTCAGCGGTTAATCTCTAACGTTCGATAGTGGAATTGGTCCTTTGACTTCAGGTCGTCATGGTACCTTATATGAGAACAGTCATACTTTGGCGGTGTTGGATGTTGCTCTGAAAAGGGCCGCTAATACGACATCGTTCGGGTACATCAAGAATCGTATGAAGGTTGTGATTGATCAATAAAGGATTCGTCACTCTTAGATAGTGGGAGATTATGATCTGTGTTTCATTCAATTAAGTCGATGATGAAATCCTTGGCCAAGGTGTACTCATAAGTCGAAAAGGAGTTTTCGACTTAAATTGACTTAATAGTGGAGTGAAAGATATGTTCAATGATCGAGATTGACACAATTCCATATCTCGTAATTAAGCCTGGGCAAAAAAATCGAAAAACCGACCGAACCGATTAAACCAAACCGACTCGGGTCGATTTGGGTCGATTTGGTCAAGCAAATCGATTTTAATCGGTTAATATAAAACTACTAACATGATGGGTTGGGTTGGTTATGGGTTAGGGATTCAACCCAATGGTTAACCGACCCGACTATATATATATATATATATATTTTTTTTTTTTTTTTTTTTTTTTTTTTTATTTTTTTTTTTTTTAGAGTCCTAGTTTTTAGAGTTTTCAATTTTAAAGGATTGTTTAAAGTTCCCAATTTTGTAACTTTTCAGTTTTCTATATACTGCATGCATGATTTCACTTAAAATATTAATTAAATCCTAATATAATAATTAAATAAACCAACAGGAAAAACCTAATATTAGAAAATAGAAAACACGTTCATTGCCTTTTCATCTTCTCTTCTCTGTGGTCCCAAAAAAGTGAAAACTGAAAACTATCAAATTCTAATTGCCATAAAACCGTTGCTATTTCCTTTGTCTCTACTGATTACCGCCTCCTCTATCGATTGTCTATCCATTTATTGAATATATATTCTCGACATACTAAAGGTTTGATCGTTCGAATGGAGACATGTGAAGTTTTTTTATTTGATTTAGTCAATAGAAGTAATTGTTAAATTAACTCCTTGTATTTCTTTAATATTTACGTTCAATTTCTTAGCCTTGCTTCCATTCTTGATTCTTGAATTTGCTTTTCTATGAAACGAGAGTTTTTTAATTTGGATTTTTTTCATAAAAAATATGGATTTCATATCCAGTAAATAGTCCGGCATCAACCTTGCAATCAAAATCAGGTCTGACAATGGACAAGTTTATCTACTTCTTGTTGTCGTTCCTACGAGAATAGAAAGCCAGAACAATGGAGGAAAAATAGAGCAAAGAATAGCATCTGCAGTGAATGCAGGGAACCTTTTCAAAGTAGAAAAAATAAATAAATACGGTTAGCATACAAAGAGAATATAGATTGACAACACATAGCAACTAACGTTAATGTAATCTTGATCATTCAGCCACCAAAGGCAATTATTCTCAACAAAAACGAATGAAGACTCCAGCAGCAAGGATGGATGATTCATGCTATATAAAGTTTTTCAAGTAGGTACTGCTACTTTTTTATTTTTTGCATCACATTTGATCCTAGCTTTATAATGAAATATGATTTATGTTTCCATGTATGGTTGCAGGTGAAGGTGATTCAAACCGGATAATTTAACCTTAGTTTCTTGCAGAGAGAAATTCAGCCAGCAAATTGTGCTTAGGATGTTATTTATATGTCAAATGATGGCAATTGGACCAATTTTAATTATTAAATTTGGAAATGATGTCATGGGTAATATTTGTTATTAATTTTGCTTTTGTTACAGACAATGAATTAGTATTTCAAATTTCAATTTTTAATTCCTACACGTTTTGCTCTTTCAATTTTATAGATTTTTAGTGTAAAATCTGGCACTTTGAGCAAAATTAATAGCATGTTATGAATTTACTTAATTCACCAGCTCATAGGTCATGGATTTTTGTTAATTGCAAACAAAAAATATTAGAATTTAGATGTACTCAAATTAGGTCCAAAAGCTTTATTGTTATTTTTTAAAATTCGGTTTAGGCAAAGACAAAGCTGATTAACTGAACCGAACCTATTCGGTTTGGGTTGGAATTTATCCAAACCGACTTAGTCGGTTTTGGTTTCGGGTTGGGGTAAAAACTGACCCAACCCGAACTATGCCCAGGCCTACTCGAAATTGATCGGATCATATTGACGAAGGGATTATAGTTTCACGGTAAACAAACGAATTTGATTTTGTCATACCACTTGACATTTTCCGTCACATGTATTGCTCTGACACATTGCTAGATGTCAATCAGGGACAGCGAGTGTGAACTGACGATAAATTAAAAGGGTGTTTTAATTTATCAATTTTGATTAGATCAAAATAATATTTCACATCGTTAGGTATCGTGGTCGGGAACCTAATGGGTCGCACACAAAGAGAATTGGAAGATTGCAAATTGCCAATTAGTTAATTTAACAATCGTTGGATAAATAAATTAATTGGATTTGTTATTTATATTCCTGAATTAATTAATTGGATTAATTAATTCACGGACCGAGTTTAATTAATTGGATTAATTAAATATTGGATTGGATCGGGCCGGGTCGAGCCCGTTTGGGTTTATATAAATACATAGCTAGGGTTTGAGGTCCATATGATTTTCATTATTCTTGCTGACACAAGAGAAAACCCTAAAAACTGCAATCTTATTCTCTGTGTGGATCACCGTTGGAGGCTGGACAATTAGACAGCTATGGTGGCAAATCAAAGTTGATGGAACTGAAAGAAAAGCAAAGAAGTTTGCATATCTGAAAAATGTACAATTTTATCACAATTTCTATCTAAACACAAACACGATTTTTGGTGGGAATCGAAAATTATTTTAAATTCCGCTGTGCATGTTTAAGTAGATTCCCAACAAAAATATAAATTAATTAAGATGTGTTTAATTACCAGCATGGAATTTATATGGAAAGAAAATAAATTTTAGACAATTTAATTTCATAGAACTTATTTGCATGAAAATAATCAATTAAATGTATTTAATTGATTTAATTCGAAAACTTAAAAAATATTATATTTGTCCTTTTTTATTGATGGGTGGATGAAAGAGGGAGGAGGCAGATGAGAGTGTGAGAGAGAGAGTTACTTGAAAAATAAAAACTTACTTCCCTTAAAGAAAATATTTTTCTTGTTTTCAAGGTATGGTCATATGACAAATAAATAGAAAAATATTTTTCACAGAAAAAATACTAATCAATCAATACAAAAGTAGAAATTTGAGTGAAAATAACATTTTTCATGAAAAATATTGATAATCAAAAGCACTCTTAGAGTTTCGTCTATATTCAAAAACTCCTTTAGATTTGTGGAGACTTGTTGGCTCAATAAATCCTTTTCAAATTTATACTTCTAGTCCAATTTTGGATTTTTTTTTTAAATTTAAGAAAATGAAAGAAAAACACATAGACACGATTTTTGGTTATAGATGAAACTCATTGAAAACCGTTTTGAATTTGAATGTCTGTTGATTAGACGTTAATATCAAATTAAAAAAAAAATCTTTCAATTTACATGTCACTTAAATAACGATCTCATTTGAGATGCTTTTAAAGAATTGATCAATGGACTAGTGACCAAAATTAATTGATTGTTACATGCCCAACACATTCATACTTTTCGTAC